TTAGGTGTACGTGGCTGGCGCCTTAGCCGGTTGAGCTATAGGCGCCGAGCCACCTTGTTACTTCTTAAAGGAATGCTATTATCAGTTAAATATTTTAAAATTACTTACGGAGTTCTGAGGCTAATAAGTCCAGTATAGTAGCCATTAGTCACAAGTGACTATTTAAATTTAAATTAATTGGCTTAGCACCTGTAGCTCAAGCAGCTAAGGTGCCAGCCACATATACCAGAGCTGGCGGGTTTGAATGCAGCCAGGCCCACCAAACAACAATGACAACTACAACCAAAAAATAGCCGACGTGGCAGTCACCTGTAGTCCCAGCTACTTGGAAGACTGAGGCAAGAGAATAGTTTAAACCCAGGAGTTGGAAGTTGCTGTGAGCTGTGATGCTACAGCACTCTACCCAGGGCGACAGCTTGAGGCTCTGTCTCAAGATAAATAAATAAATAAATTTAAATTAATTAAAATTGAATAAAATTAAAATTTAGTTCCTCCAGCATACTAGCCACATATCAAGTGCTCAGTAGCTACATGTGGCTAGTGACAACTCTTATTGAAAAACTTGGGAGAACTTTTATAGACCAGCATGGAACATATAAAGATCTTAAAAAGAGGATCCTCTTCACTTGGATCTCCCTAGAAGGCACATAGGCATTGCTATCCTAAACTCTAGACATCTTTTCTAGCTCTAATATAGGCTGGTACCCTTATTTGTGATGTTCCTAAGGAAGATTAGAGACAGTGGTTTCCTGTGATCTTCACAGGCTTGCTAGTGAAAAAGTTCTTCTTTACCACAATGATTCTGTTTATTGAGGTTCTACTGGAACATCAAAGCATTATTTCAAATCTCCAATCCCTATATTTTTCATCAAGCATTTGAAGAATGAATCATAAAGGAATTTTCTTCTTTCTTGGAATTAGATTGTAGGACTCACTGAGAAGACGGTATTAGTTGCCCTGGATACTGTTTCCTGTTTGGAGCAGGGCAACAACTGTAGGACCGTGGCCTCCACAGCTATGAATTCTCAGTCATCCAGATCTCATGCCATCTTTACAATCTCTATAGAACAAAGAAAGAAAAATGACAAGTAAGTTAAAATTTAAAGAGTAAATATTTTTAATATTAGTTCTATTAAGGTTGAATATTAAGCTGCTTCTTCAATTGACTTGACAAATCATCAGACATCAGATGAGCACTAGTGACCAATGGAGCCATTTTGATGGACTTGAAAGAAAATGGGAACTGATAGCTGATCAGCTTTGATATTCAGCTACTCTCAAACTATGGACCATTCTCATTTGTGTCTTCCTATCATTATTACAGAAATAGTAGTTTTCGCTCCAAGCTACATCTTGTAGACCTTGCTGGATCAGAAAGGCAGAAGAAAACCAAGGCTGAAGGGGATCGTCTAAGAGAGGGTGAGAGCGTAATTAAGGTCACAATTGTAGATAAAAACTTTTAGTACACTTGTTGGTATTATTGGTGTACTGACTGGGATATTTCCAATCACTTTTTTTTTTTTTAAGAGACAGTCTGACTTTGTCGCCCTTGGTAGAGTGCTGTGGCGTTACAGCTCACAGCAACCTCCAGCTCTTGGGCTTAGCCGATTCTCTTGCCTCAACCTTCTGAGTAGCTGGGACTACAGGTGCCCACCCACAATGCCCAGCTATTTTTTGTTGCACTTTGGCTGGGGCTGGGTTTGAACCTGCCACCCTCGGTATTTGGGGCTGGCGCCCTACTCACTGAGCCACAGGTGCCACCCCCAATCACTTTATAACAGTAACTACAATTCAAGTTTGAGGCCAATTTCAGAAATAGTGAAGATCTTTTTCTTTCCCTTGCATTCATTCTCTAATTCAGGTATGAGATTTGGATCTGGTTCTTGGTTTGATTTTATCTGGTCCAGGCAAGTTTTAGTTTTGTTTTATCCCCATCTACTTATAATTAAAATCAGTGTCCTTGGCTTGGCACCAATAGCTCACTGGTTAGGGCGCCAGCCACATATACCAAGGCAGGCAGGCTCCAACCCAGCCTTGGCCTGTTAAACAACAATGATAACTGCAAGAAAAAATAGCCAGGCATTGTGGCGAGTGTCTGTAATCTTAGATACTTGGGAGGCTGAGGCAAGAGAATTGCTTAAGCCCAAAACTTGGAGGTTGCTATGAGCTGTGACACCACAGCACTCTACTGAGGGTGACAAAATGAGACTCTGTCTCAAAAAATAAATAAAAAATAAGATCAATGTCCTGGTTCTGTCATTTTAAGTATTCACTATCCCTTCAGATGTTGTCACATAAAACCTCATCTTCATTCAAGTTGCTGGATTTAAGTGATGAAGCTCCTAAGGCTAGAAGAACTGTATGCTGTGTACTATTAGAAACTTTCCTCTCTGGCCCTGTACCCATAGCACAGTGGTTACACCAGCCACATATACCTAGGGTGGCAGGTTCAAACCCTGCCCAGGCCAGTTAAACAACAATCACAATTACGACAAAAAGTAGCTGGGGTTTTTTTGTTTTGTTTTGTTTTTTTGGTAGGGATAGAGTGCCCTGGTGTCACACAGCTCACAGCAATCTCCACCTCCTGGGCTTAAGCAATTCTCTTACCTCAGCCTCTGGAGTAGCTGGGACTACAGGCACCCGCCACAACACCCAGCTATTTTTTTGTTGCAGTTTGACCGGGGCTGGGTTTGAACCCGCCACCCTCGGTATATGGGGCCAATGCCCTTCCCACTGAGCAACAGGCGCCACCCTGGGTTTTGTTTTTTTTTTTTAACAAAAAAAGAAACCATCCTCTAACATGATAGTGACCTGGTAATCTGCATGCTTTGGGAATGGTCCTTCAAGTGATTATTAATCTATCTAACAAAAATTAATATCTAGCTCCTGTTTCTCAATTTTTTCTTAAGGACCTCATTAAAGATTTCATCAAACAGTTAAGTCTAGATATATTATATCTACTGTATTTCTCATAGTTACTAGCTTAGTATCAGAGCAAAAAGAAATGAGGATTAGCCTAAACTGACTTTTTCTTAGTGAATTTAAGCTGACTTCTATTGCTTATTCTTCCATTTATTGATTCTAACAAGCTCTACCTGTAATAATCTAGACTTATATCAAACACACTTGTCTGTAATTTATGGATTAGCTTTTACCTTCCTGTCCAGTCTTCTGAAAACATCTTTCTCCATGATTCTCAAATACCATTGACATGGCTTCAGCAGTCTTGTTTGAAATTATTCTCAGTTCCTTTGGCTATAATTCATCTGTTCCAAGATATTTGAACTATTATTAAAATAGTTGACTGTATACTTACTACCTCTTTATTCATATTGGGCTTCGGTTCCCTCTTAGGAGTAGAGAGGCAGAAGGAAAAATAGTAATTGAGGATTTTACTTCTGTCATTTATTGTCATTATACTGTTGGTATAGGAAAGAGACCTATTGCTTCCTTATTTTTTCTACATTTAAAAGTGTCCTTTTTTGTTCTATATTACACTTGATATTTAGCTTTTTTGATACTATTTTTAAAGATTTTTTTTGAGACAGAGTCTTATTTTATTGCCCTCAGTAGAGTGCCATGGCATCACAGTTCACAGCAATCTCCAACTCCTGGGCATAGGTGATTCTCTTGCCTCAGCCTCCTTAGTAGTTGGGACTATAGGCGGCTGCCAGAACACTCAGCAATTTTTTTGTTGTAGTTTGGCCAGGGCCAGGTTTGAACCCACCACCCACCCTTGGTATATGGGGCTGGGTCCTACCCACTGAGCGACAAGCGCTGCCTTTCTTTATCTTCTTTTGGGTGTTCAGTTCCAAGTTGTTTTATTTAATAGCTATATTGAGATATAATTCACATACTATAAAATTTGCCCATTTAGACTGTACATTCCTGTGGATTTTAGTATCTTCACAGAGCTGTATAACCATCACCACATTTTAATTTTAGAACATTTCATCACCCCAGAATAAAGCTTCCATATATATTAGCAGTCACTCCTCATTTCTTCCCCCTTCCCTAGCCCTAGACAAACTACCAACCTATATTTCATAAAAATGTAGTTCTACAATATGTGATTATATGTGACCAGCTTAGCATAATATTTTCAAGGTATATATATGTTGTAGCATATATCAGTACTTTGTTTCTTTTTATTACTGAATAATATTCCATTGTATGGATATATCACATTTTATTTGTCTATTCATCAGTTGTCTCCAATTTTGGCTATGATGAATACTGCTCTATGAACTTCCATGTATAAAGTTTATTTATTTATTTATTTTTATTATTTTTTTTTTTGAGACAGGGTCTCACTCTGGTGTCTTGGCTAGAGTGCCTTAGCATCATCTTAGCTCACTGCAGTCTCAAACTCTTGGGCTCAGGTGATCCTCTTGCCTCAGCCTCCTGAGTAGCTGAAACTGCAGGATGACAGTTGGCTAATTAAAAATAATTTTTTTTTTGAGATAGAGAATCACCATGTCATCCTCAGTAGAGTGCTATGGCGTCTCAGCTCACAGCAACCTCAAACTCTTGGGATTAAGCGATTCTGCTGCCTCAGCCTCCCAAGTAGCTGGGACTACAGGTGCCCGCCAAAATGCCTGGCTCTTTTTTGTTGTAGTTGTCATTGTTGTTTAGCAGGCCCGGGCCGAGTTCAAACCTGCCAGCCCTGGTGTATGTGGCCAGTGCCATAACCACTGAGCTATGGGCACCGAGCCTAATTTTTAAAATTTTTATAGAGATGAGATATCATTGTTGCCCAGGTTGGTCCTGAACTCCTGGCCTTGAGCAATTCTTCCTGCCTCAGCCTCCCAAGGTGGTATGAGTCACTGCACCTGGCCTGTGTAAGTTTTTGCATATACAGATTTTTTTTTAATTTCTTCCAGATATATACCTAGGAGTGGAATTGCTGGATCATATGGTAACTCTGTTTAACCTTTTTTTAAATTAAGAAATAATTAAAATATCATAACATTCACCCTTTTAAAGTGTAAATTCAGTAATTTTTTTTTATTTTTTTATTTTTATTTTTTTTTTATTGAATGGTAACTGTGTACATTGATGCACTTTGGGGGTACAGTGTGGTGTTTTCATACACAATCCAAGACACTTCCATCAAACTGGTTAACATAGCCTTCATGTAAAATTCAGTAATTTTTAACATATTCATAAGGAGTTATAAAGCCATCACCCAAAAAATTTTAGAATATTTTCATCACCTCAAAAAGAAACTTGTACCTGTTAGCAGTCATTCCGTATTTCCCCCTAGCATATGTTCTCCATTCCCCACCTTGAGTAAGTAACGACCCTCTAAGTCCCAAGTAGCTGGGACTACAGGTACCTGCGCCTGGCTATTTTCTTTTTTTAAAAACAAGGTCTCACTCTTGCTCAGGCTGGTCTCAAACACATGAGCTCAGGCAATCCACCCACCTCGGCCTTCCAGAGTGCTAGATTACTAGCCACTGCGCCCAGCCCTATTGTGTCTTTTAACTTATAGCCATCCTGGTTAGTATGAAGTGATATATTATTAGCCACTGCACCTAGCCCTATTGTGTCTTTTTTAATTATAGCCATCCTGGTTAATATGAAGTGCCACTGCACCTAGCCCTATTGTGTCTTTTTTAATTATAGCCATCCTGGTTAATATGAAGTGGTATCTCATTATGATTTTCATTTATATTTTGCTGATGGTTAATGATGTTAAACATCATCTCATATGCTCATTGGCAATTTGCATCATCTTCTTTGGGAAAATGTCCATTATTACATTTAGGTCTTTGACCCATTTTGAGTTAATTTTTGTATATGTTATGAAATACTGGTCCTTTTTCATTCATTTGCATGTGGATATCCAGTAGCCCAATGTCATTTATTGAAAAGACTATTCTTTGTCCATTGAATTATTTTTGGTATCCATATAAAGAAGCAATTGGGCCAGGTGTGGTGGCTTATGCCTATAATTTTAGCGGTCTGGGAGGCTGAGGCAGGAGGATTACTTGAGCTCAGGAGTTCGAGACCAGCCTAAACAAGAGCAAGACTTCGTTTCAAAATAGAAAAATTATCCAGGTATCATGGTAGGCACCTGTAGTCCCAGCTACTTGGGAATCTGAGGCAAGAGGATCACTTGAGCCCAGGGCTTGAGGTTTCAGTGAGCTATGATGACACCACTGTATTCTAACCAGGGTGACAGAGCAAGACTCTGTCTCAAAAAACAAACAAACAAACAAAAAAACAATTGGACTCTCTTCCTTTGACTATATCTTTATTCTATCCTTATGCCAGAACCATACTGTTTTGATTACTATAGCTTTGTGGTAATTTTTGAAATTGGGAAGTGTAAGGCTTCCTACTTAGTTTTTTTTCGAGATTGTATTGGCTATTCTGGGTCCCTTTCATTTTCATATGAATGTTTGGTTCAGCTT